GTTTATCATTTTTATAAGTTTTTACCACAGTTAGTTTTTAGTCTTTTTGTTTTCACATTTTAAATTTACATTTTTTTGTTTCCTGTTTTTAGTTTTCATTATGAATTTCTGCCTCATTATGTAAATAAGGTGGTCGGGTCAACTCATCTCCTATTGGTCGACAGGAAGGAGCAGGATATATGTGCAGATCTGCTGTGCATGCTTGTGCCTCAGTTTACCTTAAAGTTTAATTTAAAACAATGGCACAGATAAGTGTTTTCCTCCTTGCCTTAGGTTTAAACTAAACTTTAACATGACATTGAGTCGTCGACAGGGTGGACCCCATAGAAATGAATACAAGAGGTCAGCTGCAGGGCGCTGACGACCATTGATGGGTCGGGGGTTAAGTTTTGGGCTAAGGTGTGAATTTAATTTTAGGGTCAGGTACCTGTGAGGTTAGGGTTAGGGTTGGTGGTCAGGGTTAGGCTGTAGAAAATAATGGAAGTTAGCTGTACCATATTGTGGGTGTGTGAATGGGTTTTAACACAATACCCAGTAGGAAAGAAATCAGCAATTGTTGCTGCCCATCAAGGGTTAAAGCTTTGAAGTCCATCATTCTGCAATGGGACAGATTTATTCACAAGTGGAACTGTAAGATTTGCAGAGATGGAAACCCATAATGCAGGCAGACTTGGGAGGTAAATGGAAAACAGGAAATACTTTCATTAATAATGCAAAAGCCAACGAGGCAGCAAACTTGCAGCGGGACGAAACACTGGAGAGAAACACGAAGTGGCAGTTGAGAGGTGACAGGTGGCAAACTGACCAGGAGAAACACTGAAGAGCTGACTGAGGGAGAAAAGAGACAATGGGACAAAAGTAAACTCAAAAAGAATGTAGATTATGATCTAAACACAAACCATGACAGGAACAAGGTCATCAATTATGACATTTGTTAATCTTTACCAAAATGTCCCAGCAAATTCACCCCAAGGTCAGACTGTGCCGTTTTCATAGAAATGACAAAAAACAGACTCCAGAGCCTCAGTTAGTAGGTTAAATAATAAAGTTGTTTACAGTAAAAGACTTGACAATTACAATCTGTTTGAAAGAGTTGCAGAGATAAAGTGTTATTTCTTTCTGAAATGAATACAGCAGCTTAGTGACTGGGGGGTGGAAGGGATGTTGTGTGTTTTGTTATTTAGTTGACCATCAGCTCCTCTGAGAGCTTCTGTCTGACAGCTGAAACTTGGCACCAGAACAATGACCCCAAACTTGGAAGCAACTCTGCACCAGAACGACTGAACAAGATAAAAAAAAAACTTGGTGTTGCATTGGCCCAAAAAGTTCTGAGTGAAATGTGGACTGTACTAAAAACAGTCATGCGGACAGGATGGCCCACAAACCTCAGCGATCTGAAGCAATCCTCTGCAAGAGACAGTCTGATAAATTTATCAAGTAAGAGGTTCTGCAAGTTCTTTGATCACGGTGTGGTTTTGGTTTTTCATTACGCAGTTTTTCCATGTTGGCTTTGTTTTGCTTTATAAATATTGACATGGTTGTTTGTTTCCAACTATAACAGGAAACGGCTGAAGCTAAAGTAATCACTAGATTAGAAAGCAGTGGCAGACAAAAATTAAGAGGCGCTCCCAGATACAAACATTCTCCTAACAAGCTGGTTAGCTTCTTTTTTATGATCATCTGCTAACTAAAGTTAGCAATCTTAAATAAAATATTGACACAGCATTACAAAAACAGATTCATGCGAATATGCTGTGTTAAAACTTAATCAGGCTTAGCTCTCAATTTACTGTAAACCACGTTTGAATATTAAAAGTACCGTAACTTACAGTGGGTAAAATAAGTATTGAACACGTCACCATTTTTCTCAGTAAATATATTACTAGAGGTACTAATGACATGATATTTTCACCAGATGTCGGTAACAACCCAAGTGATCCATACATACAAAGAAATCAAACCATAAATGTCCAGAAATGAAGTTATTTGTAATAATGTGGAATGGCACAGGGAAAAAGTATTGAACACACTTACTGAAATTTATCTAATACTTTGTACAAAAGCCTTTGTTGTCAATGACAGCTTCAAGACTGTATGGAGAAACTAGTGGCATGCATTGCTCAGGTGTGATTTTGGCCCATTCTTCCACACAAACAGTCTTCAAATC